ATAATTATATTTAAATGTAATTATAAAAAATTAATAAACGTTAATTAAAAATAATACGTGTAGGTAGAGTAATAGTTTAAGAATTCATTTAATTTAATAATTTAAAAGTTTGTTAATCTGTTCAAACTATTAATTGTAAAAAGGACAAAATATAATAAATAACATTCGGTTGATATTTTAAATATCAACTTAATAATTTTTTTTCTGAATTTAACTTTGTGACATATAAATCTAGCTATTATATTCTGTTTTTTAAATATATTCTCGGTTTACTGTATTAATTTTTTTAATTGTAAATAATGCATTAAAAATATATAACTTTGTAGCTTTATATTATTTACCAAAATTGTTAATTGTATATAATTAATAAATATTAAAATAAATTAAAACATGCGTGCGAAAAAGAAAACTGCCAATTAAAATTGGTGGAGATGATGGAGAGCCTTCACGAATTTAGATTTTATTCGATAAATATTCCGATTAAACAATAACAATTTTTATTACCAAACAATACAAATTGTATTATTGTATTGTATTATGTATTATATTATGATATATTAAGTTGTATTATGATGTCTTATATTATTGTGTTATGATGTTTCTTTTTTTCGTATTAAACTTTTGTATTTTTATTGAATATTATTGATTTATATTTTATATTGTGATAATTTTTTTTTATATTGTATAAAAAATAATAAATATAAGAAAATTTAAAATTTGCATATAAAGAAAAGAGGACCGTCAAGAAGTGAAATTAGCGGGGGTGATGGAGGGCCTCTACAAATTGATCAGTTTCTAAAAACGCAAGACAAATTATAGCATAGAAGTTTACTATAACTAACGAGATTTGTTAGACTTGTGATAAATAATCAATACGACACAATTCCGATTTTATGAGACAAAGACGGATAGAGATTGATCATCTCTCTCTATCTAACTAACTGTCAGTTCTGCATATAGCAGACAGCACGGAACAAAACCACAAAATCGTGAACATAGCACGAATGAGAACTATCCAATCGTGGACATTGCCTACAGAATCATGGACATTGGTTATGTAGTTCAATGTCCATGTTTTTATGGACATAGAGGCGCTTCGAAAAAAGTTACAGCTAAATCGCGGACATGCCTACTCTCAGGCTTCTCTCTGGTTTTATTTCGCTTTGTCAGATGGGATATTCAACATATTCAATTTAATCACCATTTGCAGAACATTTATTTTGCAATTAATTGAAAGTTTTCTGTGCTGAGGTTATATTTCTAGATTTAGGAGAATAATCCAATTTCAGTGCAAGGAATTTCCAACAGTTACAAAATAAACAGTCTACTGAACGTAACCAATAACGATTGATATTTGTAGTTGCTAATGGTTGCCTTTGTTGACATACAATTTTAATCAACATGATACGTTCATACTCAGTAAGATCTAGTAAGGTTATCCGACAGGATTGAAAAATTAACTATTATAAATGGCAGAGGCAAAGCGAATAAATCAGTCTATGAAACATGATCCAAAACAAGATTCAGCAGACACAGCACAGGAAGAAGAAAAAAAGCACATGAATTTGGAAACTTTTGAGGATGTTGGAGAGACAGTTCAGCAGCCAGTTTATCAGATTCGACCACATCTTCATGAAAAGTAAACTATTTATATTTACAAATGATATTGTATTTATAAGATGGATTAATTTTGATTGAAACTAATACCTGGTAAAACTAATAATATTACATTAATATTACAATTTCCTACTTATCAATATGTAACACAATATATATACGTAACAGTTACATTGCTGAATCGAAAGTTATAACATTATACTAATACTAAATATGATTAAAATACATTAATACATATATTAAATATGATTAAAATTTGAATACTTAGGTTTAAACCTCTAAGTGCAAAAGAAATAATACATGACGTGCTATTTGATCAACTTGCTATGAAATCATATGATGCTCAGGCAGCTGCTCAATGGACCAAAGATATAGCAGATATTATTGAAATAAAAATTAAAGGTAATATTTTTTTGTACATATGTATAATTTAAATTTATATTAATCCTTTCACTATCAAGGATAAGATATCTTGGTTCCATGATGTCATAGATACAATACTATGGATATCTTGCTATCATGATGTCTATACAACATACTATGAACAAGATATCTTGCATCACAAGTGAGAGTATTAATCCTATTACAGGACAATATATAAGAAAATTCAATATTATATTAGATTATAATAAATACTTGGTATAGATCATTTAGATCAAATATTACACTAGCATTAATCTATATGGAAACATTGAAATTATACAAAAAAATTTTTTATTCATTTAATCGACATTATCATTTTTAACAGTATGGCAATTTAGAACTGTTTGCATAAAAACCAAAAATTTATCTATAAGGAAGAAATTATTTTGAGTTTAGTGGAAAAATACTGCATGAGGGATAATTACGATTGAAGTAGATAGTCTAATATAAGAACACCATTCCGTTTTACTTCTCATTGCTTTCCAAGTAAAATACCACCCACAGAAAAAAAATCTCATCCAACAAGACAATGTATAGTTTATACAAACAATAGTATATTTCAATGGAAATAAAGGTACGCCAGATATCCATATCATTGTATAGATGACATCATGGAACTGAGATATCTTTCTTAGTAGTGAAAAGGCTAATCATCATTTTTAAAGTCCTATATAAATATTTATCATACAGCACTTTTTTTCTTTTTATATGTTCTCAGAATTACAATTTAAGAGATATAAGTATATTGTCAATGTTGTTTTGGGACAGCAACATGGTGCTGGAATAAAAATAGGTACACGATGTATTTGGGATGCTGAAGCTGATACATATGCCTATGATAGTTTTATTAATGTAAGAAAATGATAAATATTTTATATATAATTTATTATTATACAGTGGGATGTTATTTTTATATTCTTCTTTCTGATTTGATTGCATGTGGTTTTTCAGGATACTATATTTTGTGTGGCTATAGTATATGCAGTTTATTTTTATTGAAAAACATTTTCTAGAAGAATGTAAGTTTATGAAATGTACATGGATAAAATGCATGAATGGAAAAATATTGTTTAGAAATATCAGCAAATTTATTAAAGTACAACTTATTATTGCCATACATTAATACATGTGCGACACATGTTAGATGCCATAATATGACACAATTTTTACATATAATTACAAATAACATCCATATAACACATAACGTTATGTGCACGATTATATTTGCAGTGATATTTTCCATTTACATGGTTCTTTTACATACTAAAATTATTATAGCACCATAATTCACGGTAGTATATTATAATTAAGATTCGTTTATCCTATTTATTACAATATTTGTCATGATTTGTTCTTATTTATTTTTAGCAAGTCACTGTTCTTAATAAATATTTAAATATATTTTAATGGTTAAATTTTTTGTTGTTCCTAGAATTAACATTTAAATTTGTAGGAATTTTTCGTCTAAAAAGTAAACATCTTACAATTTGATTTAAATAATCCATTATCAATATTATACGAAATACTATATTTGCGTTTTCTTGCATGAAAGTTATACATTGCAACTAGGCAATAGTAAATAAAATATAAAAATATACTCATATATTAATAAAAATTTTAATATATGAAAATATTTTATATACTATTAATTAATTTATTATTCATTTTGTTTATTATATATATATATGTCTATTATTGTGAAATATATAATAATAGAAACTTGAAACATATACAAAAGCAAATGTTATATTGCATTTAAAAATTCTTAATAATTTGTCACTGGAAAAAATAATATTTATAAAAATAAAATAAATAGCTTTTTGATATATTTCTGCTATATTTATAAATAACTATACTTATGTTAACATAAAATTTCTCTTAATAAGTATGTATTAACGACTATTTTTATGTAACAAGACAATTTACTTTGATTATTTGCCTGCTAAATAATCTGTCACGTATTAAATATTAACACATATATATGTAAAATTGTTCCTTTTAACCATTTAACCAGTTTTTATATTTAAAATGAGATAAATGTATAGCTTAAAGAAAAAAAGAAAAAAAAGAAAAAAGCATAACATGTAACTCGACGAACATATCTCATATTGGCAAGGAAGAATTATGAAATTTATAAAATTCTACTCTAAAACTATATATTTTTCTGTTAACTTTTCTGTTTTCTTTTGATTATATCAATAACAAATTTAAATTGTGTAAATGTATATGTGTCAAGTACTTCATTAAATTATTAATGTAATAATAAGTTACATGATGACGCATGGCAATGCACAGCATAATGGGAGGCAAACTGGGACAACGGCACCTCCTTTGCTGCTTTTACTTTTGCTTTTGCTAGAAGCCTCGTGTTCGTATTTTGCGCTAGCTTTTTCCCATCCTCCCTGAAAGTTTGTAGAAAAGATTGATTAATTAAATATCGTGAATTTAAAAATTATTTCATATAAAATATTCTTTAACTTACACTAGATTGTGATATGGCTGAACTAGATTCTTCCTTTTTGGTGAATTCTGCCGAACCTGGAGGATAATAGACCGGTGGCCCAGCAACATTTTTGCTTTTAACTTTCGGTGGTGTATGTGGGACGAAATCAACTTCTTTTTTCGTAGCCGGTGATCCCTTTTTCTTCTGACGTTCTTGTTTCTCTATATCTTCCAATACTTCTCGCTGGAATAAAATACATATATAGAATCATTATCGCATAAATAAAATACGATATCAATTATTACTTTACTTCAGAATCAGAGAACGAAGCCATTAGATCTTCCAATTTTGTTGGTGGTCCTTCGCCATTAGCGACTGGCTTAGTAGGATATACTTGAGCACCAGTTGGAAATGGTTTTGGCAGAAGGACCTCGTGGTCATCGGCATTCTTGCTCGGCGGTACTGTCGTTGTAGTATTCGAAAACTTGTAAATCGTTGTGCTAGATTGTGGCGGTGTACTTTGCCGCGGATAATAGCTCGTGTCTGGTTTGTCGGATATCGGATGACGTCCACTGGACGGCGGCTTGCCAGATCTGTACTCTTCGAAACGATTAATGGTCCTAGTGTGCGTCTCGCTTACAGTAGGTGGTTGATTTTGATATATGACGGTCGTGCTGTCGGGATGATCGCCTGGTTCATGACCATTAGGGTAATTACCGTCAACCTGGTAATACTTCTCGGTCACAGTAGTTTTAGTTTCAATGTTCGACGGTGGACTGCGATAAGAGTAAGAAGGCTGCGTCGGTTGACCATGGTGCTCCTCACGGTAGAACTTCGATTCCTTGTGGAAGGTTTTCGACTTCTCGGTGATATCGGTTGGTGAACTGCTGTATCTGATCGGTGTACCGGGATGTCCCTCCGTCACGGTCTGATAAGTGACTGTCTTATCTGCGGTGGTAGTTCCGCTTCTTGGTAGGGTGTACGTGATCGTTTGATCGCCAGGCAGCACAACGCTCCCTGGCACATTGCCACCTGGTAAATATGTCTCTGGCGCTCCCGGTAGCTCATAGGTGTAAGTCTTTATGGTAGTGGTTACCTTTGTGTTTGGACCAGGTGCCAGATTGATTGGTATCGATGGACTTGGCGACGGGACTACATATTCGATGGTTTTATATTCTTGCGGACTTTGTATCGGTCGTGGCTCGACAGTTTGGTAACCTTTGAAAACAAAAGATCATTCGTTTACTCTAAATGGTAGATTAAAAAGTAGTTATAATTTTTTAATATTCTTTTTAAATTACGTACCAGTCTCGTGAAGATACTTGACATCTTTTTGAATTCCTGGCAGAGGAGAAGTTTGTTTCGAACCAGACGTTGAACTGTCGCCGTAGATCTATATAGTAGATAAATATAATATAATTATGTTAGTGTTAATTGGATTATATTTATTAATATTTATTAATAAAAATGTTTCTAAAAATTGATTTTTTGAAACATATATTTATAATAATTTTGCTCACCAGTTCTTTATTAACTACTGTTTTTTTAATAATCGGTTCCAGACTTTGATATGTATATGGGCTTTTAGTCTCCTCGTAAGTAGTTTCATGGATGTCGTCCCTGTAAAGATAAATTTTTTTATGTCTATACTGCAAAATTAATAAAAATAGTTTTAGATGAATTATTTGCACCGTCTGCGATAAATTTCTTTCAAACGACATGCATAAATTACAGACAATTGAGAAATATGAGTTTATTTCTATTTTAACGGAAAATATATGTTACGCGATCGAGTCACTTGGCATCCATTCAGGAAATGAAGGTATTTTGGAACTATGAGGCAGAACTGTGTGTACTTACATCAAGGGCGCGCCAGTGAGAGGCTGTTTGCTTTCTGATATGACCCATGAATCTAGAATAATAAATCATACGGTATGTTATTATTATGAGTGTCCAAAACACGATAATAAATTTAGAAAAATAAAAATAAAAAAATCTCAAATTATCCTTAAAAATAGTCCTGAAGTGGATTTTATTGATACAAATATTTCTGATCGAGATAAATATTCTCACCAACAGTCGTCCTTATCCTTATAATATAGTAACTCGCGTGTGTATCTCTTTTCTATTAGTTCTCTTTCACGGTCTTTTTCTCTTATCTTTCTTTTCGGAGAGCAATGGAGTCATGAAGAAATCGGGTCAACCTTCTGCCATAAGCGGTCCTAATATGGCTACACTTGTGTGTTATGCGTGACCGCAAAGAACATGAGCGTACCACCTCTGCCAAATACAGAGATACAGGGAAAACCTTCTTACTTCCAATACGTTTTCTTTACGACGAAGATGAATAATGCTTTGAAAAGTTCTCTCTATTCTTCCGATTTCTATAATATTTAATGTTGCAAAGATATCGCAAACAAATGTACTTGAAAACATTTTTAAAAATTAAATTTAATAATAATTAAAAAGATTTTCCACGCTTGGCGTGGAAAATATAAAAAGATGAGCCGATTGCTTAATATATAAAAAATCAATTCCGTGAGGTATATTTCTTTATTTAAAATATTCCTCATTAATTCGATATATTATTTTTGCTAAATTCTTATTTCCATTAAGAATCCTGTTATACACGTGTTTGAGCATCTTTATTGAATTTCATGAAAATAAACGCAACTTCGAACTTTAATCTTTGGAAAACAGCGATAATTAAGATAGGATAAATATGTTATCTCGTTCTTATACTCCTTTCCTTCGCAGTACAAGTAGTTTGCACTAAAGATACGAATAACGCTCAAGTCTGATTCGTTTGATTTTTTCATCAATTAACCGTAAACCAGCAAGGCCGTTGCATTCCTTAAAAGGCGTGACATGAGCAACCGGCTTTCCTACCTTCCTTGATCGCTTCACGTTCGTGCGCTATTCAACGCGACCCGACGGTATTATTTGTCTTAGTTAATTCAAAGAATCTTATAAAAATCCGTTTTGCGACAATATCGCTAAACTCTATGCAAAGCTGTGTATAATATAATAAACAACAAATATATGTTATTTATCAAATTTCAAATTACATTATGTATCAATTAACGTAAATTTTCCTACCTGGTTTCCCGTCCAAATCTTTGTTATAATGATATGAGACCTGCTTGTATGCTATCGTTTTGCTTTGACCGGGTTGGACCTGCAAACGTAAAAAGAAAACGTCACGAGGCAGAATCTCGCATGCATCTCGGTATGCATAGGCATTCAGGTCATCCGTTTTTATAGCAACGATCCGATCGTAACAAATTAGTGCGAGCGATGCGTGGGCAGTGTCAGCACCGGACTCTCCTTATAAGACTTTGATTATGACGGTCCTACGTAAGACACATGGGCGGATCGGTAACAATATCTGAATTCCGGAGAACAACTCAGGAATGAAGATTATTTTAACTGCAAAACGCAGCCACGCAGTAAAGTTATTAAAGTGTGAAATAAAATAAATTATTTAGTTATAAATAAATTATAAAATTATAAAATAAATTATTAAGTAAAACAAATTATTTTTGTTTTAAATAAATAATTATTTTTAAATGTACCTTTTTAAATGCTATAACTTTTTAAATGTATAACTTTTGCATAACGCGTTATTTTGTGTGCGATAAAATTTTGACACGTTGATTCCATAAATTGCAAAGGCACGTAAATAAGAGGTGTGAGAATTTTATAGATTGTTTCGTTACATTCTATCGTTTCAGCTAACGACAGGCAACGTTGCTTAAAGATCTTAGAGCCCATTAAGTTTAAAGATATATCCGGTTGAAATGCAAGGAGTGTAAGAGCAAACCAATTTATTTTCATTGAACGTCGGATTACAAGCCATACGATCAGCGAGCGCTGCAATTACCTACCTCGAGGCCTCTGTTACACGCAAGACTGATTCTGTGCCTTACCATGATCCTCTAATGTCCAGTATATCGCGTAAAATGGTAATATCATTACTATAATTACGTGGCTGTCCCGAGCATCATTATCGAGTCGAACGTTTTAACGCGTTTCTATTTTCTCTTTTCTCTAGTTAGGAAACTGTCTCTGAAAATTACCAATGTATGAGGAATATATCATTGCTTGCAAGCATTTTAGAAAGTGGAAAATCACATCCAGTCAGACATTTAGAATATAAATCCTAATCTTTATCATAATTTAGATATCGTCATACAAAAAGTAATGCAACAATATTGCAAACAAAATCAAATTTTAATTATTGTAATAATTATAAAAAAAAAAAACTTGAGATTTATAACGTTTTACTATTTAAATCATTATTCTCTTCACTTATTAAAGTATCGTTCGAAATTTCGCATCCAGGTAAGAGGTCAGTAGATAAATACGAAAGCGAGGGTGTGGCGATTATGATCGTTGGGCAATCATAATTTGGCTTCCAATTAGACAGTTTTACGAGCAATTATTCTAATATAATTACACGTCTGATTAAACTATTTTTGCTTAATGCTCGATTGATTCTTCGAATATCATGGAAATCGCGATTTTAAATATACGAATGATCTCGCTTATTCCTCGCAGAGGAATGTCTTTAACGAGAGATAACATTGAGCGTTCGCTAGATGCATTTGGAACCCCCGGGGCAAATAGATGCAATCTACATGGCGTATAATTGGAGCCATGGCGTCCAGCGGGACGCATAAAACTCGGTGAATGTTAACATAGAAGTGATTTAATACTTTGCATTTAACAATCTACCGCGCTTAATTTATATGTATAATACTGTGTACGAGTGTTGTAAATTTGCTTTTAATAATAATGTCGTTGGATTAATGTCACTGATAAATGGATACACGATACGATTTATTAATGCTAATCGGTTTTCTATTGTTATCTACGTTTTACCTCAGTAAATAATATTAATATGTATATATATTTTTAAGTGTGTATTAATTTATTTATTTACGACTTTTAAGTAGCAAAATCATAATTGGACATGTTGAACATAAAAATACAATCTATTTTTTTTTATGAAATATTAAAAATATATAAATGATTAAATTTTTAAATCAATTAAATTTTAAAATAATAATTTTTGCGACTCAATATTTTCTTTTGAAAAAATTGTCTATTGTATATATCTATTATATTGTCTATTATATATATATCGAAAATATAATTTATTAAATTTTTATTTTTTGCTTGGTTACGCTTCGACCGGTATTAACTTTTATCTGCTCTTAAGTAGCTTTACTTAATTAACATAAAATAATCGAAATAATCGTTTTCTATTCAAGAACACATCCAGTAATCTCGGCAAAAGCATGGCAGTATGCGAAACTAGTTTCTTGCATGCATTAATCACGCAACGCATTCCTTTTTTTTAAGAAACCAGTACCGTCAACATCTACGTGATTTCATCTAACACGTGTCGAGATTATCGTTTCCCATTTTTAAATTTTATCCGCGGGCTAATAATCGATTTTTTGTAGCAAGCAATAATATGGAAACTCATATTTTAAATTTAACTCCTATATTTTCATATTAATCTGTTTTGTAACCTGTTAGTTAATAAAAAATGTATTCATTTTTTTGGAAAGTAGTAACGCGATATTAAATGATATTGAATGAGACAGAATAAAATTCACTTGTACCTATAAAACTATAACTTCTCAGGACATAAATTTATTTGTGCAGTAAGATAAGATTTCTTTGTAAAAGCAGAATTGTGTACAAATCCAAAATTGTTCTTCAATTAATAAGTAAACAATCATACTATATTTTCTAATTAGACGTTAAATAAGCTATTGAATATTCAATTTACAATATTCTAATAACGTAAATTCTTTTGAATTTAAGAACTTACATCTTGCAGCTCCGCGTCCAGATGTTCCAGTCCTGGTATACCGCTCGGTGTACCAGTTGGACCGGTACTGACGAATTTTTCAGTGGTAGTCACCCTCGAACGAGTCGGAGACATGGGTCTGGAAAATAATTTTTAAATTATTAATATTTATTATGATATATTTTTACATAAAAAAAGATACTATTGATCGCATAAGAGATATGTCATTACTGGATTATCGTTCAACTTGATTTCTCACCTGCCCTCAGAGACCACTCTAGTGGGATTGGCAGCTACCCGATATTCAACTTGAGGCAAAAGTGTTCTGTCTCGGCTAGGAGTGGCACTTCTCGAAACACTCGTCTGCAGATCCTCGAGAAGTGCGTCTAAAAGAGCCAAATGAATCAATTTAACATGTCATCATTAACGAAAAATAGAGAGAGGAGAAAGATCTGAGAAGATGAATCTGAGTATCTGAACGACTTCGATAGTTCTTAATTCTCTAATTAAAATTATGTATTACATAAATTTTGTTTTACATAAATATTATTATCAATCAACAGAAAGAAGAATAATTACATCATTAAAAGTTTGATAAATCGTTTGTGTGTGCGCTGTGCGCGCGTAACTAATTTATTCGATGAAAAAAGAGAGGGGCGGAAACGAACAACGGATGGATAGGGTTACACATCTCTGGTGGCACATTTAAAGGTTTACCCAAGTTGTTTTCGAGGCTGCTGGCCGTGGCTGCTCCGTCTCTCTGGCCAGATATAGGACCGCCATGACTCACGATCTTTCTGCTGGTGTGCGTCGTCGTTCGCTCCCTCACGGCTGCTGACATTGTGTTCTTCTTAAACCCTGCCTCACGAAATCTGTAACGGGTAACATGGAAGGCTTGACCGACATCCCGATTAATTTGATTAATTTTATTGTAACCTATCAATCAATTTTATTGGGAATATTTATCAGATAATAACAAGATCTTTGGAGCACGTCGAGTAACTGGAACGACTGGAACGACGGTAGTATGAACGGATATTTCTCCTTGTAACGCGCTACTTATAGAAGTATGGGTTTATAAATAGAATTGATATTAGGATTCGGGTCTCTACAGAGAGCTACAGACTTTCGCAGAAACTTTCGCACCCGCCACTCGAAGCCGGTTTATGAACAAGACTCGCGCAACAGCCGTGACCAGGCCTGGCCAGTTTTAGGTCCGAGTGGGTGTAGGTTCCTGATTTCCGTCGCGCATACATGATTTTTACCTTAATCGTAAAAAGCCGTTTCTCAACTATTGAATACTTGACAAAATATTTTCCAGGAAAAATTCGTGGACTCAAATAATTTTATATTGACAGTCTATTAGAAAATATCACCGCGTTTTACTTTAGAAAACGACATTAAAGCATTAACATTAAGTTCTATTGAAATTGAAATTGAAATATACGTATAAGAATATAAAGGAATGAGATAAGTCTGAGAACTAAATCGGCGGAAATGCCAAATAGTCTCATATTTATTCCGGTGGAGGCTCCAATGCGAATGAGGCCAGGGGGCCAAGGAGGCCTTCCAAGAATCGGCAGCTAAAGAGGTACTCATTCATATGATCGTTTCTGAAATCTCAAAACACATGATACTTTCTAGAACGTATGCGTATTTTAGTGGCTATTGCGCGAATAATTCTGACATGTTGATCATAATATAAAAAAAAAGAGTTGCGATCCAAATTTGGTAATGATTGGCATCTCTTATTGGAGACAAGTTTTGGCAAAGTGGCCCAAGGTCAGATAAATCCAAATCAAGGTCAATTATAGTATCGTGCGTGCCTCCACGATGAATGTCGTTGCCTTGATTGTGATTTACGAGTTGTTAATGACTCCACACTCGTATACGTACTTATCAAGAGTACTATTAAAGATATTTTTACTCTCCGAAAAGACATAGCAATGACAACATGTGAATTGTTTTCACAACTTAACAATTTTAACTTGCACGATTATGTCTTTGCAAAGATGTCTTTTTTGTAATATAGACATATCTGTATATAATATAAATGTATCAATATTATAATATACAAAAGAATATATTTTATCGTAATTTTGATAATTTATTCTAACATTTATACTATTAATTATATTTCTTTGATTATAATATTTATAAATAATATTCATAATTCTCCTAGTTAGATTGATTTATAAAAGAGATTGAGAATGAAAAAGGCGATAACGAGTTTATGCCATTTAGACTTGAACTTTATCGCATAATTTCATTTTCAGACAGCGTTATAAGTTGACTTCAAAGGCATGCCGCGTCATTCCTGTTTAATATAGAGCACACGTAACTACTTGATCAGCTCGAATGAAGAGTATTGGATGCAGTGGCGTAATTAAAATGCGAGTTGTTTGACGTCTTAGAAAAAAAGATCGATAAAGCTCATTTCTTGTGGCATTAAACCATATTTGCAAAATATTCATGAAAAATGAGTAATTTCTTGATATATGGAATGATAAAATAATCATAATTTGTCAATCACAATTAGCCTAATTTGAACTTTGGAATGATTACATGTAACCGTATAATATTATCAATTGCAACAATTACGCCACTGATAGCAGACGATGTAACTGCTTTAAGCAGATAGTTAGCCGGTCATCGTCAGTGACATTGTACCGTGCCCTCCAAGGTTATCGAGTCAATCGAAATGACGATGACTGCGATTCGTTCAATTCTAAGAAGACTACCTAATCGGGATTCTACTTGGGTTAATACTAAATACTAAAGACTCGATGGATACGGAGCATTTATCTCCCCCTTCCTTTTCCCTCCGTATTATTCGCTTATTTTTTTAAATCGTGAACTTAATTTGCACGAACACAGATGTATTCTTCAGCTCGCAAAATAATAATTTCAGCTTGCAGAATGTACCTGCGCATCACCTGATCGTGATTTTTGCTCAATTATTTTTGTCTCATTCAATCATAAAAAAGTTGCGCGCAGTAGGAGGAAGGGAAAAGAACAAGGAACATTTGTACTGCAAAATTACTATTGGTCCATAGATACTTATTAGATATTTATTTAAAAATGAGTGTATATTTCTTTCGTGTTAAGATGTTAATTTAAATTTCAAACAATTCCAAAAAGCATTAAATACTATTGCATTAATAAAGTATCTTATTTTATTATGTAAGTAATATTGTTATATATTATAATATTATTATTATATAGTGAATATTGAAGCAATGTTATTCATTCAGTTATTTCCTCGAATTAAAAAAGAATAGAATTTTTGAATTTAAAATGAAATATTTTTGAACAAAATAATTTATAGATTTGCAATAGTCAAATATTAAAAACCATTATAACACGCAATTATATTGTATATATTGATTTATAACCTTTTGTTAACAAAAATGATATATTTTATTATAAAAACCATATTTTGTTTTAAAAAAATATTCTTAACGAAATTATTTAAAATTATGAATATTCCACACGTCGACAAAGATTATTAATATCATTGAACATAAATAGGAATATTCCTAACAACAAAAGAATTATAAGAAAATGCATTATTATTCTAAACATTAAAAGAGATTGTGTTGAACACTAAAAGAGATCGTGTTGCAACTACGTGATTATGTTACATCGTTACTACTGCTGCATATTAACGCATCATAGCATTTCTGTAATGCTGCGTTACGAACATTGTCTTATATGTTACAGCCATATATTACACATTCAAATGTATATTACATAACAATATCTTATTTGATTTTTGATTCTATTAATTACGGAATTATACTGATTATAAGCTATTGAACAGTATAATTCATATGTTTCGATTTTACTAAACATATGGTGAAAATGTATAAAAGATATAGACTTACAACTGTATCAACGAGAGAAAGTTCTGTATTTGCATTCACAACACAATTGCGCAAACGATTGTAAAATAACATGAATATCTCAGTGGAATGAGTTTCTCTCATTAAGTATTCATTGAATTTCAAAAATATTTATAACATTTTCTGTTGACATTTACATAAAAAACACTTACAAGATATTTGTATAAAATTGATATTAATAACAGATATTTTATTCTCATTTTCAATTGAAATAATTTACTAATATTTTATAATTACAATATTTTTTGCAAGTACTATAAAAAAATTTTGTTATGCATAATATATATGTGTGCTATTATGTATATATGTATGTGTCGATATAACGTTTTTATAATATAATTATTCTAAAAAACGTAATCTGATTTTCTAATATTAGAAAAGAAATTATTTTTTTATATGAAATTAGATATACATAATTTAAAGTATCTTTGTGAAGTATTAATTTATGTTTAGATAGTCCTTTTTTATGATTTTTGCCTTATTAAGAAAAAAAGAATTTCTCATCTTAATGATCGATTGTGAAACTCCCGATTTAAATTCTTGCACCGTATTACTTCGAACTAGTAATTTGACTGTAATTGAAACGTGATGTCATTATTGATTATGTGAATGATTACTAAGTCTCGTGATACTCGAAGAGAAATTCTCGCGTGTCCGATATCTTAGTATTTTGCATGTGTAACCATTAATGAAAAAGAAAGAGCACAAACATTCCAAGTTTATCTTGTCAAATGTGATTAACTCAACATTTAAGTATATAAGTTTATATAAACAGATACTACCAAACTTCCTTATCAATCATGACATTGTAAAAAGTAATAAAATTATAACAGATTATTATATATTATAAAACTTTTTTAATTTCGAATTTTACATTTTTACACAAAACAGGAATATAAGATATAATAATAATATAAGAAAAATTTAAAAGAATTTAAGAAAAATATTGAGAAAAAAAATATAAAAAATATATTAAGAAAAAAATTATTTTTGGAATTGTCGTTTGTAACAAATAAACTTCAACACAAGTCATTAATTACTCATGTACATATGTACGAAAGATATAAAAAAATATAAAATCTTGTATAAGTTTAAGAATAACATTTAACATTACGTGGATGGCAATAGTCCAACTAACTGGCGCCCAAAATCTCATCTCATCTCATCTCATCTCATCTCATCTTATCTCATCTCCCTTTTTCATTTCCTTCTTTGTCCGTCGCCGTTCTTTGTTTAACTAGTTTAAATATAACCCATCCACCTTTATGCCGTTATTTACTTCTTGGCTAACAGATTTCCTACTGTCGGCATATTTTACACGAATAGTGGATTTTTAATGGCATTCTGACAAAATCCAATTGCTAGTTAATGCTATTTTGCAAACATGCACAAGCAAACCGTGAATTTTGGCATGTTTACAGTGCCAAGATAAAACTTACACGTGACTGTCATTAACTGTTTTCAGCAGCTGTATATCCGTAATGATTTGAAATGTATAAAAATAAAGGAATATAATCTTTAATTTTAATTGAATATTTTTTAAAAAATATTGAAAATTTCATAATACCAACGGAGTTCTAATATTAAATAATATGTTTCGATATCAGAAAATTAAAATTTGCAAAGTTTATTGTTTCAACATAAAAAAGCGATGAGAAATATACATGACTCTATTTTTGGCGCGCTAACCCGATGGTAAGAAGCTTTATAAATCATGAGCCAATATGTTTTTGGCTTTGCGCCTATTTTTACATCTACTTTCGTCACATCGCGTCCTCTTTTTTTCTCACCTCAGTTGTACAAATCTGTTTCATTTATTTTCTTACGAGTCAATTTCATGCAAAAATATATCTTTTGCCAAATAATGCTGATAGAAACGAAAATAGGGGGGAAAGCAAGGATCAATTTCCAAAAATATGATATTACAAGTCTCAACAATTAGTTTCAGTCTTTTTTCCTTGATTAAACGTTATGCTAATGAAGATGAGATAATTTACAACCGTGTTAAAATATTGCACTGTGTCAAAGAGTTTCCGTTTATTCTCGAATGTTATTCTTATGTATTATGCATTGCTTACGAAGCTCTTAATGAACGTTGTAACGTCTATAGTGACGCATGAATTATGCATATGTATTTATTCTGAGCGGTCTTTAAAACGCACCTAACATGGATGAGAGATCCGCGAAGTCGGAAAGTGGGATTCGACCTTCCGCCTATCTTCAATCATCTGCTTACCGTATTACATATTGAACTTCTAATTGACATAGCGGACTTGTAATTAGTATTATACTATTATATAAAATTGTCGCATTTAAAAATTTTATTTTTAGAAGACTTAAAATAAAATTTGATCGATTTTTTTTACATATTGTATCAAAATAACATGCAGTAATTTGGACCTCAATAAAATAATTATAAAATATTTTACATATAATTTATAATAAACATTTACAAAACATTTACAAAAGAAAGTACTATAATCTTAAGATTTGTTGCTAAAATAATTCATACTATAAATTTTATAAATTATATTTGTTATAAATAAATACAAAAAGATATCTTTTTATTTCTCTTATGTGTAATAAAAGATCAAATTACAAATTGAATATTTGTTATTTTAATTTATTTGTAAAATAATTTTTTGTGTTCCATGCAGTAATGAATTAATTAAATCAAAAAATTGCATTGATGTGAAGTACTTCTAGAGAGAAATAAGTTAGCATTAAATTAAATCTGCATTATAACAATCTGGAATGAAAATTATAAATTATTTTCAAGTTGAAATGGCTTTTTTAACCTCGTAACGTCAGGAATCATGGCGTGTTAACCATGACATGTGTGGCATAATGACGGTCGCTGTTTGCAGTCATTCAAAGGCACTGAGGCATTTTCAATGACGGAAGATTAATTACTACATGGGCTGAGAGCGCAGCAACCAGTGTTACTAATAGTAATTCAATACAAACAGACATAATTGCAAGGGCAACTATATATTAAGGTAATTAAGATAATGTTAATTGCCGATTCTGATTTCGCTAATTTGCTAGCTAGCAATTAATTATTGGACTTAATTTATTAGTAAACTTTAATTGGATTCAATTTACAATATGATCAGATTATTAGAATCATTTATATCCAGATTATAATCATTTTTGTTATTTATTTAAATACACGAATATAAATCAGACTACTTCGTGCAGTATTTGCAATTTTTAATTTTTTTGCGGTATTTAGTCTATGATAACATACATTAAAAATATCCGCGTATCATCAGTTTACAAATATTGAAAAATTTAATATTTATATTAAATTCTTGTACATTTTAATTGATAAATTTTTTTCGATATGAATACATTTACAAAACTCGTAATATGTATATATTATATAAATTTAAGTATAAAACTAAACAGATTTAGATTGTATTTTCGGTGACATATCAGAGAAAACATATTGTAAAATAATATGTGGCCATTCTTCATACCTCGCGAGAAGAGGGTAATCCGAAATTTACACACCGGCTAGATCACTTTTTTCTCCGTCTCGTTTTCTTTCCGGCGACTTTGCTCACGCGTCGGATCCAACCGATCAATCCTGGCCGAGCGAGCGGTTCACGAGACACCGGATTGACCGTCCGTCCAGGACTGGTCACATACACTTGCTACGCCGCTCGCCAGAATCCGTCGTGGGTAGACAGGACCAGGGCGTGCGCATGCGCGATAGATCGCGAATTGTTAGATGTCCCCGACCCGTGGAAACCTTCGATCATCGTGTTCAAGATCGAAAGATCATCAATATTACGAAACGTCCAATGTCTGATGTTTGATAGATTCAAGATTAAATCGGATCGATAAATATATAACTTTCATTGCAGTAAAAATGTAATTTTAATGAAATTTATGTAAATTTAAAGCATATACAGTCAGACATAACGACATAATTAAAAATTGTTTAACAATTATTTTAATCACTTTGAATGTTGTAACATGTATATAAGAACTTAATTAAATTTTCAGGAATTTACATTCATCCAAGTTTTCCGGACAAAGTATTTGTATGTAAAACTTACTTTACTTCTACGTCTATAAACACATTACGTAATTAATATAATAAATTATTATTATAGAAATATCACTCTTTCGAATATATACTCTTGCTTATATTATTATTCTTTCCTTTCGCTCATATTTTTACAGCCTTGTAAGTGCTATTAATCTAGAAATTATTATTAATAACAAGTCTGATAAATAATGTAATAACAATGCAGATCAATACGAGTTAACAAGCATAAATTGATTTATAATTACTTCCGGTATTTTTTTATTAATAATAATAATAACATAATTCATTTGATCATTATATATATATTATATGATATGCAATTATTGACACTTTTTGTTTTTTGTCATAAGTGCTTCTAATGTAAAATGAAAAAAAGTCAAAGAAATTAATATACAAATCTTTTTTTTGTAATTAAGCTGTTGATGAAGAATAGCTGTTTATTCTTAAAAGGTCTGCGGACCAACTGCTTCGACGATGACGTCATGACAAGAAGAGATGAAAGATGACAAAAGATACCTCAATCTGTTGCTGACGTCAGATTTTGCCCTCGCCACACTGTCGAGAATGCATATTTATTTGATGTTGTGGGTAGTCGAATGTATACATAGCCAATTATGTCATTGACGAAAATGACGGAATCATTCATTGGTGTTGAACTTGTTTCTAGATAGTAAGTACAAGTTTTCTTACCAACAACTGTTAAAGGAGTAGACAATAAATATGATAAAAATTCATGAATTGTTTTATTACTATTTTATTAAAGTCACTTGATTATATATATTAAAATAAAATTACATTTATCTTTTTTTCTTACGTACATTTACATTTTCTTTTTTAATGTATGTGCATTTTTCATAAAAGAAGATGATGTTACTCGAATATGCTAATAGATGTCACTAATACAACTATTTTATTTATCAAAATACAATAGAATATAAAATAAATATCTTCACATTGCATATTGCTTTTTTATATCCGTAAAAAAGAAAATAAACTTCAATTTTAGAAAAGTACAAATTGCGTACAGTATTATTTTATTTATTGTAACAATAATTTAAAAAATATAATTTATGTTATAAATAAATAATCTTCCTAAATTTATATGAAAATTTGTTTACTAAATGTACGTAAGAAAAAAGATAAATGTACTGCAGCTTTTCTTCCAGCTTTATTTGCTCAGTCATCTCTTTTATTAGGATAAGGATATGGTGAAAGTAACATGACTCTCTGATGGCATAAATTAGAACGTATTTTTATATGCTACAATTAAATGACAGCTGGATAATTTTTCATTTTATTATTAGCTATTAAATCAAATGCTCATAAATTATTTTAAGAAAATAATTCCATATTTTAAGAAAATATGAAAAGTTTGTCGAAATGTTTCTTTACTTGTTATATGCTTTCACCATAAGTATGTAAAATAAAATTTTTGGAACAAATCAAGCTACTTAAGAAGTTGCCATGTTATTGATTTTTTTGTTTCTGCTGGTGTGTCTTGAAATAAATATTAGACACACGTAATTATAAAATCTAACACTTATTTTAACAACAGGGCGCTAATGCTAACCACGTCTCTGACTTTGAAGCTCACAGAGACACCTGCGTAGGTGTGGGAGAGCAACGACTTCTCTGAATAAAGGTGATACACCAATGGAGATTTATCGTTGTGTGTGTATATGTGTGCATGTATGCATACATGTGTACGTATGTCGCGTACGCGTGCGTGTATCAGGTGGCGATTGTCGGTTCAGGAACAACGCTGTGGAGGGCAAAGGCCGGGGGAGGGAGGGGGAACAACGAAGTGTGGTCGAGGGAAGCTGTATAGCAAGAGATGACAGTCGAGAGGAAGAAACGGGAGATGTATATGTAGTCGTTATTTTATGTGTGAACGAGGATACGAATGTGTTAGTCTTATCTTACTTCGGGTGCGCGTCAGGGAAGAGCGGGGAATGATATTACCCGGGAAAAAAGAAGATATAAAAGTAGACGGGCGATGTCAACATGGCTGTGAAATCGCAGATGCCACGTTTGGGATTTTTCAGATTCGCGGAGGCGTCACATCCATTTAAATGCCATCGCGTGGAATTGACGTGGTCTATGGGAACCTTCCCATCTATCGTTTGACGTTGATACGTGGGCGATGTATGTCATGATTGAGAAATAGAAGCTTATCGATTGTCGTTTTCTATATCTACCAAGCAAATGTCATTTTTTTAAATAAATTTGTTATAAAACTATACGCTTAATCCTTCATCATCTTAAACATATCAGTTATAACAGTTCTACATAGAGAAATTTTATTTTTAAATTAAAGCATTAGAAGGAATATGAAAATCTAAAAAAATATTTTTATTTTTATTTTTATTAAAATTTTTATACATTTTTTGATACATTTTTTCTTTATATCTTATCTTTATATATTTTTAATATATTTAAATTTTGGATAAACATCTAAGGGATTGGGATATAAAAGAAGATATTAAGGAAATAACTAGAAATGGCACTAAAATAAAATGAGTTAAAAAAATGACATGAATAAAACAAATTAATAATTATTAATAAGTAACATTGATAATCATTACAAGATAGCAACGTACAATTTTCTTTGATATTCTTTTTAAAAAAAATGTTTCTTCACATTTGTTTAAGAATTTTTTTGAAGAGGCATTGCTTGTGTGCATTGCACCTGTTCTATCGTTTTTATCATACTATATGTTACATTTGCATAGTTTATTAAATACTACTTTTAGCAATAGTGTCAGGGAATATCAGAAAAAGACGAATGTTGGCCAGTAAATTACTTCATGGCTGTAGAAAATAAAATTAGGTAGATCTACTACGAATTATTCATTCAGGATTGTACACATACTAAACTACACAGAAAAAAAAAGTACAAATCTATAAATAACCGAGCTCTATCTATTATTTCGCTTGTACTGCCATCTTCTAGTTACGCTACTGGCCTCCCTCGCACACAACTGAATCATTCTTGTCTGTATATCACATACACCAGGAACATTTATACAATGTATGCAACAGGAGCAAGCGAGAGGGAACGATAATCAGAAGGGAAAAGCAGAGCGACAGTTGGTGGGAGTTGAAGCAGCGGATGCAGTGATGGCGGCTGCGTTGGATAACCAGCCGGAGCAGGCCAGGTCGGAAGAGCGAGGGAGGCAGACAAAGTGGATAGGAGAGAGAGCCAGAATCGGAATGGAAAGACAGCCAGGTTGCTCGACGGGGTGGCGGGGGTGAGGGGGCAAAGCCGAAGAACGGCTTAGCCTGGCGCTGCCTCGGTCGTAGCCACGAGTGGAGTGTTGAGAGAGCAACCGAGGTCCCGTTGGCCCTGGTGGTCGGCCCGCACCGGGTGAGGCGTCATGAAAGCGCGCCAGTCGACCGTGCGCACCTACAGCCGTACGAGAGCACGCTGAGCGCTTCGTTTATTGCCCATTTCTCGGTCCTTTCTTGCCGTCGCGCCTCCATCCGTTTTCGGAGCACGACACATTGACACGCGGCGACCGGCGCGTTGGCGGATCACCTAGGACTAGTTTCCCCGATCCTCGGTCATTCATTGGGATCGCAGGATGACAGAAGCAGCAGACGGACGTCCGGCTGGATCGGCGATCCCGTCGATGAACGAGATTGCGCGTTTAAGGGATGTTTTCCTTCTCGCTGAGGAATCGTGAGATCGGAGAGATTGAAGGAGTGCGGTCAGTGGCCTGGATTTTTGATTGACATCTTGGGGTGGTGATCCTAGAGAGGGAAGGACTCTCTATTATATTTAATTAGAAAAGCAGTGTTATTTTACGGTGTTTACTTTGAAATCCGACTTTGTTCTTTTTATGACGACGTGTGTGTAGCTCCTTTCCCGATGGCTTAATGAGGGTCTAGGGAGCGGCAAAGACAATGGCTTCGGAGTAATGCTCAGGTGTGTGCTCCTTTGTTAACCAAGACAGAGCGTTTGTATTCTTAACTATTCGGTATATCTTGCTTCTCATGATTTTCATCCCTATGGACGGAAATTCAGGGATAGCTTCGTGTCATTAATGTGACGTTTTACGCGGTGAATCTTCTCACGCATGATATCTTGCATATGAATTGCGATAGATTAACGCAAGGAAGTCTTTACGGAGTAAAGTAAGTGGACGTATGAAATCGCAGGACGATTTAATCTACTCATAATCCGGCCGTAACTTATATTTCATATAAAGTTTCCGTATCGTATTCCGTCGTGCAGCTGAAATCGTATGCTTTATTAGCGACATCAAAGAAAGCGGAGGCGAAATAAAAGAAATCTATTGGCTGAATACATGTACAAGCATAGCATAAAAAAATCGGAATTATTGACATTTTTTTAAAATTTTATACAATTATAGAATTTCAACATTGTATAAGCATCGTCGGATGACAATTAAATATCATCGTAACAAAGCCAGAACGAAATACATTGTAAGTGGTAAATGCAACAAAAAATCGATCGGACCAACCCTTCGCTGTACAAAATCACGCGTTTCCGATCACCGAGCAATCTCTCGGCTATTTTCAATGTTTTGTGAAGCTTGCTTCGTTACCTCATTGTTGTCACGTTGACCGCGCCGAAGGGTGCCACCCCTAGTTCGTTATTCCGTTCCACACTTTGGAGCACTCAAATCGCGGAGTAACGAAGGGAGGAAACTAATCCAGTCCAAGAGTGATACGCATTTTATCCGATGAATAGACAGATGCGATGAGAGAAACGTATTTAAAAAAGAGAAAGAGGAAAGAATGTTCTATAAAATAATAAGAATATGCTTTCTTTGCGAAATAATTTTATAATTATTTCAGTTCAGTTGCTACGTTAATGTATTATGTGATTTCTTTACGTCACATATTTCAAGAATAACGTCAAAGAAAATAAAGGTGCCTGATGAGCGAAAGAACCGGTATTCTATTTAAGAACAATATGAAGAAAGGGAGAACAAAAAGACATGATATGCGCGAGAGATAAAGTAGAGGCACGATCATCTATTATACTTACTTTGTAAATATAGCCATTTATGTATGCACCAGTCATTGATATACATTTTCAACGTTAGATAGATATCAAAATGTAAAAAAAAAGTTGTAATAAAAATATAAATGAAACTATATTAAATGTCTGTATCGATTAAGCCATTTTTTAGTTTTTTATGAAAGAAACATTACATATGATAGTCAAAATTGCTGCAAAAAAGGCATTCCATGTCCATGAGCGTATTTAAAAGAAGAATAAAACTGAAACTCTCTGCGAAACAAAGTTGAAGAATTTCAGTCCGGCACGTGAGACTGTGCGACTTTATAACGAGCACCAAGATTCAGGAAAAGAATACGTTCAATTTTCATTCTTATTCTGGAAAAATTTACATAACTCTAATGCATCTGACACGGCGGATGCGCCTGGCCTAAGTGAAGGGGGGATGGGAGGAGAGTCCGAGAACAGCGACGTGCGAGGTCCGCATGTTAATCGAGTCATCGTTTCCTGGTGTTTTGAATTCACGATAACGTATAGCCTCAGTCAACTAGAAGACCCGGCGACACGCGGTTCGCCGACTGATATGGCAGCAGCCGACATTCCAGCCACCGCGATCCCTCGGCTCCTCCGCCATCATCGCCGTCACTATCTCCGATACCGGCGTAGCTGTCAAACAACCGAACAGGTGTTACCGCGAGGCGCCCGGAGTGGGACACGCGATTTCTTGTGATACTACACACACGGCGTACGGCGACTCGAAGAAATAAGTCCCAGTGTCGTCGATCGATCGATGTGACACGCACATTCCTCGCGCATTCCTCGTTACTTAACTGGACGCCGAAGGTGTCTTCGTGGGTGTCATTCCGTGAGGTGTCTGTGAATATCTGGTGGGTGAGGGGGTGGACCAAGAGCGATTGTTCTTAGGAATAGAGTGTTCTGACGTTGGTGAATTGCATACTCATCGAGAATGACGGGCCGTAAAGTTTCCTGTCCGGTATCCAAATTCAGCAGTGTCTTTCTGTTGCTGTTGATTCTTTTAGCCGAGGTGAGTATGATTATTGATAATCACATGGATCTGGGACATGTCGATAGAGTATCGTTTTATGCTGTAGACTTGGGTATTAGCGCGAAGGACATGCATTGCTAACGTGCGTACATGTTTGTAAAGTTACAATTTTGAGAGCGATATATATTAGTTTTGAAAAAGCGGAATCAAACACTTAATTTTTTTCGAGTTCTCTCGACATTATTGCTCATCTTTACTTCATGTTTTTACTATCTTAAATGTTTCTATAAATAATAACATAATCATAAATTTAAGATTGATCAAAAATCAACTTTTAATAATTAATGTAATTTTACTATTACATACACATTTTTTATAATTTGTCAAGATAAGACGTGCAACAATTATACTATTACTTTTCGTCGTTTATCTTTGCATTAATGAATTTATTTTGAATACATTTCATTTTGATATTTTTTTTGCTTATGATGAAAAAGATTTTGATTCGTTACTATTTCTGGCAGGGACATGTAGAGCGGCTGAATAATAATCTCGATCTAGGACATTCCACTCTGGAGAATGTCCTTTTACATTGAAATGCGCGATTACTTGAAGCAATCTAAAAGCAATGACGTATAAAAGCATATTGCATAAACTTGCACAAATTTAAATTTATAAAATAGTTACACTGATTGAGTTTAACAAGAATGAACTGAATAAATAATTGCATATAAAAATTGGCGTAAATTAAAAATTTAATTTTAAATTTGTTACTTTCTTAATTTGATCGGTTTAAACCGATGTCAATAATTTTAAATTCACAAATATATTTGATGCGATATTTTATTTTGATAGAAGTAAATAAATAATAAATATAAAAGATATGTCGGATTAAGATTTACCTTTTCATTGAAATTTCTTTCAGAGAAAGAAGTAATTACAAATTCAGATGTATATTTAATATTAGTTAAGAAATAAATATCAGAAATTGTGCGATCGGAATCAGAGTTTGAGTTCTGGTCAACCGATTGGTGAAGGGGAACGCGACCGACATCCAGTCTTCTTTGCTCGATCGAATCGTATCTTGACATTGCGAAACTTCGCCTGGCTTTCTCAATCGCGAATACATTGCTTTGAATGCCGATGTCTACTGACTCCTGTATCCGTCATTACGGCGAATGTCCATTCGTATTAGTGTGTCATTAGAATAGATCTGTGTCTACTGCATACGTATTTTTAAAGCAAAAAATTCGTAGACGTAATAATAATTCATTTTCTCTCTAGCGTTAAATTAATGTCTTTAATTCGAATGCAGCGAATTTCAATATTTTATCCGTTTTTGCGCAAACACAGTATATCCAGTCGGACACCAGTACTAGCAGATTAAAGAGGCTTAAGCGTCTGCCGTAGATAATCGAAATGATTAGTTGTTCGGATCGTTTGCCGATGGTTAGACCGCGGATTACGAGATTTTCCTCCCTTTCCACAGAGGAGGAGAGAGAAATCCTGCCTTTCCGGGTAATTTAAATATTTAACGCGCCACGGAGTGCTGGAATTACGTAAACGAGTTTTTATTATCTTCTCCGGGAGCTAGTGATTTCGTTGTGTGATAGTTGAACGCGACAACAGACATGCGTTAAGAGAATATCATTTTGCGAAACAACGCGATACTAATGTATTCATATGAAAATTACAATATAATTTGCTTATATAAAAATATCTTAATTTTTATAACTTCTGATTAGAGATTCATGATAAAGCTTTAGAAAGTTAAGTATTTTTAGAAAATAAATGGAATCATTTATTTTAAATAGTTTTCCTTTTACATTATTTGCATTGTATATTATTTTTATACTTATAGAATTTTAGAAATGCAGAGATTGTTCCAAGAATTAATTATAGATTGATTCAATGCGAAGAAAAAGCAAGATTGGTTTAATTACGGTTTATTGACCAAAGAAAAGTTAGCGAAAGTATATTGCATTATATCTAATGAAACTCTAAACTCTAACGAAATATAGTAGACAAAATAAATTGTGTAAGTATTCCATATTTAAAAGAAAGCCGACGTCTATTTAACTCTTGTTGTATGATATTGTCTTACACGAAATTGATTTTATATGAACTCTTTTGTCATAAAATATTTCTCATTATCGATAAAGAATTAAAATTATCACACTTGTTGTTAATTTTACAGTATTAAATCTGTTTTATTGATATCATTTCGTTGGGAAAGTAATAAAATCATTCTGATTGCAAAACTAATTTGTTATGAAATCTTTTTCTATAAAACAAAAAATAAAGAAATAAAGATTGTTGCCTATATTTTCAATTATACATGAAATACATGAAAAACATATATACAAGAGCCAATATCGAATTAATATTGCTTTATTTGATTACAAAATGAGTCATAGAAAATGATAAAAATATCCATAAAAAAATTTATGATGTAATGTATAAAAGATATATGCGTGCAACATTATGACTGACTGCACTGATATCGCGTATATATATATATATATATATATATATATATATATATATATATATATAGTATAGTAA